TCCGGGGGTGAGTCCCGCGCCCCCGCCGTGCCTGTCCGGCAGCCTGCCCTCCCCTCGCCACCCCCCAGCGCGTCCAGCCCCGCAAATCCAGCAGCAGGTGAGCAGAGGGGGCACCCGAGTCCCTGCCCACCGTGCCCTCCGCGTCTCGGAGCCCACCCGCTTGGGCGAGTGTCACCCAGCTGTCGCAGACGGCTTGGTCCTGGGGACAAGCACCCACCCAGGGTGGGACAGTGGGGAGGGATCCAGGGGGAGGAGGAGAGGGCCCACCCCTGGGTGCTGCCCCCATCCAGGGTGATTCATGCCATGTTCCCCTTGCTGCCAAAGCCTTTGCTGGGGTCAAGGGGAGCTGAGGCGGGTCCCAGCCCCAGGACCCCCATGTCCCCTCCCCTAACCCCTTCTGCGGTCTCCTCGTGGTGGGCCGGCAGGGCTTGTGCTGGCTCCGGAGCCACCACCCAGGGGCCTGGAGACGGCAAGAGGGCTGCTGCCGTCCCACTGGGGTCTCTGCCTCAAGGAGAGGGGTGCCCGGGCTCATCCCGCCATGAGGGACCCTGTTCTCTGTGTCCCCTGAAGGGATGGGGAAGGTGTCAGGGGACATCCCCTCTTTCCAGTTCCTTGGACCCTGTCCTGCAAGGGTCCCTGTCCTGGGGCTGGGCTAACGTGGCCCAAGGCTGGGGGAGTCCCACTGGGGTCTCTGCCTCAAGGAGAGGGGTGCCCGGGCTCATCCCGCCATGAGGGACCCTGTTCTCTGTGTCCCCTGAAGGGATGGGGAAGGTGTCAGGGGACATCCCCTCTTTCCAGTTCCTTGGACCCTGTCCTGCAAGGGTCCCTGTCCTGGGGCTGGGCTAACGTGGCCCAAGGCTGGGGGGTGAGCGGGGTCCCCTGTGCCTCTGTCACGGCTCTTGTCCTCCAGGCATGGAGGGGGAACTCGTGTCATTCCTGGCTGGCTGCCAGTGGCCGGATCCAGAAGCACTGCCTGGCCAGCTCCCGGCACCTCCCCAAGGAGGCCAAAACCCTCCTGGGCTCCTGCGGGGACGTGATCCAACACTGGCGAGCTCGTGCTGGTGCTCTCCTTCCTGAGCCACCCCGTCCCCAGCTGGAGCAGCACCAGGCGGTGGCCAGACGGG